AGGAGGTCTGGGGTTGACCTGGGGGACTAAGGGTAGTTGTGGGGAGACCCTGGTGCAATGCTGCCTGCTCCTCCCTTCAGGTACGTGAAGACCTACCTCCTGCCCGACAAATCCCGGCAAGGGAAACGCAAGACGACCATCAAACGCAACACTATCAACCCGCTGTACAACGAGCTGCTGAAGGTGAGTGGGGATGGGCTGGGGCGCAGCCCGCTCCCCGCTGCGGGGCCAGGCAGGGACTTGGCCCTGGGGATGCTGCTGGAACAAACCAGGGGATGAATGGGCTCCAAACCCTGAGGTCGGGGTCTGCAGAGGACCCATGTCCAGACACTGCACCCTGAAAGCGGGAAAAACCCACTCCCAGGCTGGGTCACTGCTCTGATGTGGCTGGGGGGTCAAGCCCCAGGCACCACGGTGGGGCGGAGGCACAGCTGCAGATGTGAATGTGCGTCCTGGCTCCTATGGCATCCCCCAGAGCCAGGGGCCTTCTGCTTACCCCTGGACATTGCTTTCCTGTGAAGAAGGCTCCTGGGCCATTGCAGGGAGGTTACAGCAGTGGGAGGGCGGGCAGCGTGGCTGCAGAGGCAGAGATAAGGCAGTTCTGGGCCCCAGGGAAGAAGCACTTGGCGCTGCCCTTCACGGTCCCTGCTGCGGCCCCCACAGGGTGGGGGGAAGGGCTGGCTCCATCCCCGAGCCTGGCAGCGCATCGCTGAGGCCAGGCACTCTCCGGACAGGAGGGAAGTGGGAACTGTGGTTGGATTTCCAGGCTCCCACAGCCCAGCATTTGCTGAGATCTCACGCTCTGACCACCTGAGGCTCGGCGGGCTGGCAGAGCTGTGCTTGTGGTGGGATGGGATGGGGTGGCCGGATGCCATGAGCCCTGGTCCTGGCTCCGCATGGGCTCTGAGGGCGACTTGCCTGGAGAGCACGGGCTACTGCACCACTGCCCCAGAACTTTGAGGTTTCCAGCAGACTTGGAAAGGAAGGCAAACAGTCTCTTGCGTGCATCCACTGCTCCTTAAAACCTGTCTCCTCTCCTGCTCGAGAGCTGTGGCTGCTGGTGTATGCCAAGCCTGGGCGCTACCTGCTCACCGGTGGTTTTCCTGTCTCTCTTCCTAGTATGAGATTAGCAAGTCCCTCCTGCTTGCAAGGACGCTGCAGTTCTCGGTCTGGCACCACGATCGCTTTGGCCGAAACACGTTCCTGGGGGAGGTGGAGGTCCCGCTGGACGCCTGGAACTTCGAGAGCCAGCTGGAGGAGTTTCTGCCGCTGCATGGCAAGGTGCTGGCCCTGCTGCCCCAGCCCTGCTGCCTGCAGCAGCCTCCCTTGCCTGGCCCTGTCCCGGGGGGTGGCCCTCAGCAGGCAGAGGGGTGCAGAGACCTCGGCCGAGAGCTGCCAAAAGGCTTGCCCCAAATCAAATCTTGGAGAAACAAAGACCCCAGAGCAGATAGCAGTAGTAGTAAAAAAGGGTAGATCCTTCCGCATTAAGCCTAGCTTCCGTCCTCCTCCTCAGTATATCCCGTGGGATGTCTCTGCCCCATCAGATATTTTCATTCTGCTTGCTTGATTGCTCCAAGAGTGCAGCTCTTCCCAGCTACCTGTCCTGACCGGGAGCCAACTTCAGGGAAACAAATGGGGGAAATTGGCCAGGACATCCTGCTGTGGGCTGCGGAGCCGTGCAGCTCGACGGCAATAGCAGATGCTGCTTCTGGACTTAAAAGTCTGGTTCGCTTGACTAGCTTGTACTGTGGGCTCAACCCTTGGCCTTGCTGGGGCTCGAGCAGCTTGTGGAAATCCCTAAATAGGATTTCCTAAGGGAGCTGGTTGAGCCAAAGCGGGATCCCAAAGGAGCCGGTCTGAGTCTGACCTGGTGATGCTGGGGAGGGCCTGCGGGCATTTGTGCCAGCTAAAGCACCTCTAGCAGCAGCCGAGCTCTTTGGCCCAGCACGGAGGGGTGCTGCAGGCAGACCAGGCCATCGCCGTGTCCACTTTGCCCTCTCAGCAGCGTTTGATAAGCCTCGCCTCTTTGCAGATTGGGGCGGATGCTGCTGGTCTCCACCAGTACAAGGGGGAGCTGGTCGTCTCCATGAAGTACATCCCATCTTCCAAGCACCCTGGGACTGGGAACGGCAGGAAGGGTGAGTGCTGGAGCTCCGGGATCTCTGTAGCCTGCGGGACCTGCTTGCGGCCACGCGAGCTGGGTCTGGGTGGGTTTCTTGGGTGGTGCCGCTGCAGCCTTCTCCTCTGCAACACCTGCAAGGCTGCTCTGGGTCAGGGCAGACCTGGCTGTCCTCAGGCTGGCCAAGTGGTCCCAGTGCTTTCCTGGGGCTGGACCAGGCTGGACCATCGGGCCCCGCGTGGAGCAATTGTCTGCCTTTGCCTCCGCGGGCAGGGCCAGCGAGGGAAGAGGCAGGAGGAGATACCAGCCGGGGATCTGTACCTGCCTCTGCAATGAAAGCTGTTCCGCAGGACCTTTTCAGAAGTTAGTGGTGGTGGAAATTAAAGCTGATTAATTCTTGCTGTGTTGGGTTTTTCCCAGGCAAAACAGGGGAAGGCGGTGAGCTCCAGGTCTGGATCAAAGAAGCCAAGAACCTCACGGCTGCCAAATCTGGGGGGACCTCAGACAGCTTTGTCAAGGGGTGAGTGTGGGTCCTGGGCACAATGAAGGCACTGTCCTCCCTGGCCGCATCCCAGAGCCGCCCTGGGGAGGGATGGGTCTCTGTGCTGGCCGCCCCACGCTGCCTGCGTTGTACCCTGAAAGTCACTGTCTTCCCATCTCTGCCTGGAGATGAGATGCTCCGGGTAGCAAACGCTCTCCTGGGTTGTGGCTGGCTGAGAGGTCGCAGTGGGAGGCTGCATGCAGGGCAGGGCTCCAGCTGCCGTCAAATTGTCTTCCCGGAGGTCACCAAGCCACTGGGCAGCATGGCTGGGGGGAGCAGGCTGCGGTCCTTGCCCTCTCCCCTCCTTAGACCACCTGCAGTCTGCCGAGCGGCTTTTCAGGAGTCGGGGCAGAGACCCAGCCCCTTGCAGACCATCATGGCTCTTCTTGGGCCGTGTCAGGGAAGGTGGGCTCCAGACCAGGTCCTGGGGTGCTGAGGTGCCCCAGCCCCTGGGGCAGAAGGCAGTTGCACACGTGCTGCTAACCCAAGGGGCTGTTTCCCCCCAGCTACCTTCTGCCACACAAAAACAAAGCCTCCAAGAGGAAGACGCCCGTGGTGAAGAAGACCCTGAACCCTCATTACAATCACACCTTTGTCTACAATGGCATCAACCCCGAGGACCTGCAGCACATCTGCCTGGAACTGACAGTCTGGGACCGGGAGCCACTGTCCAGCAACGACTTCCTCGGGGGTGTCCGTCTGGGGGTGGGCAATGGTGAGGAGCCCTGGGGTCCCATCAAACCCTGGGGACAGGCAGCCTTGCTTGCACATCCATTCTTTCCCCCAGGCATGAGCAACGGGCAGGCTGTGGACTGGATGGACTCCATGGGCGAGGAGCTGAACCTGTGGCAGAAGATGTGCCAGTACCCAGGCTCGAGCTGAACCTGTGGCAGAAGATGTGCCAGTACCCAGGCTCATGGGCGGAGGGGACGCTCCAGCTCCGCTCCACCATGGCCAAGCTGAGGCCGTAGGCTGCGGTACCGGCACCGGGACTCAGCTGAGGGCTGGCACCGCTGCTCAAGAGCTGCACTCGCAGCATGGTCTGGCAGGGCTGCCAAACATGGGGTGTTTTTCCTTCGCTTATACTTTAATAAACATGACCTTCTCTAAACAGGCTTGGGCAGAAAGTCTTCTTGGCCTCGCTTTGTTTAAAGGGTTTTCCTTTTGTCTTAGGCTTTGTACCAAATTTCAGGCTGAACTGGAGTTCTTGTGGACCCTCCCTTCTTTCCCCCCAGGCAAAATGCTTTGAAATGTGGTTGGCTTTTTTTTCTTCTTTCCATTCTCCTTCCTCCCACCCCCTCTGTTTCACAGTCTGCTCCTGCTGCTCCCTCCTTGTCTTCCCCACCCTCTTTCCGCAGGATGCAGCCGGCTCCAGGACGGAGGCATCCATGCCCAGCCCAGCCCTGGCTGCGGGGCTCAGATGGAGCCGTGTGCGGGGTCAGCTTGGGGGGCTGGGGGTGGCAGCCCCCAGGGAGGATTCGTTCCCCAGGCCTCTCTGTGACACACCTGCCAGCACTGACTTTTATACAAATTTATTTACCTAGAGTTAATATTCTACTGCCACAACAGTTCCCAGGAAGGGATGCCCCATGGCTGATGGAAGGGGAAGCGAGGGGTGGGGATGGCGAGCCCTTGGGGTGGGCTGCGTGCTGGCTGGCTGCTACTGGCTTTGCTGGGCACGGGGCCATTTGCTTTCACTAAAGGCTTTCCGGCAGCTCTGGCAGGACCCTGGCAGCAGC